AGTAACCCCCCGCCAGGCTCCACAGCCAGCGGGGAGCCAGGAGTATTTTGGAGATAGGGGGGCTTGCGGGGGGAGGGGAGGGGGTAGGGCAACTCCTTTAAGTCGGGGACCGTAGCCACAGTGGGTTTCGCTGTGCCCCTTTCTGGGTTTGCAGCTCCCATGTGAATTAAGCCGAGGACTAAAAAGGCTGCATACTTGGTCGCAGTCCAGCTCTTAATCCCACAACCCAGGGGCTGCTATTCGTAGAGCAACAGGTTTGAGAGCAACTGCGTGGTGCCCGGACAGGGACCCCAGGGCTGGCTGTCCCTGCACCTTGCAGTGGCACCCATGGGTGTCGGAGGGACGCGGTGCTGCAGGGCTGGCACAGAGCTGGCTTCTGGTGTGCCAGTGCCTCGGCGGTACCATCTGGGTGGCAGCCTGTCAGCACCTGGTTTTTGAGCGGGCTCCGACCCGCCAACTCCTTTCCCATCAGCTCTCCGACAGCTGGGGCTTGGCAGGGATCCTGGGAGGGGGGGGCACGACCTCTTACCTGTCTCTGTGGGTGCTGCAGACCTCCTTCGGGCTGTGCTTGGCTTTCCTGCAGCCAGAAAAGCCTGCCGGGACCAGGCGTAACCTTGCCAGGCTCCAGGCTGGCTGTTTTCCGTGCCAAATGCCTGGGAGCCTGATTTGGGGTGGTCCTGGGCAGCTCTGCACTGCCTTGTGCCTCCTTTCCCTGGCACCCACGGCACAGGCAGGTGATGGGGACCTTACTCATCCAGAAGGGGATAAGACCTGGGTGGGGACAGGGTGTTTTGGGAGCCACTTAAAACCCAGGGGTGGTTTGGGTGGAGGGAAGGTATGAGCTGAACCCCAGGAGGAGGCCAGGGGGGTTGCTCCTGAAGAAGGCTGAGCAGTGGGACTGTACCCCTTGAGACTGGAGATGTTGGCCAGGTGCTGGAGGAAGCGCTGGTTTAGTTGCGAGATTTCTGGCTGTGGTGTTTTCTAGGAAGTGGGAAATTTTTTTAAATTTGCAACATTATGACCCAGCTTTAAACAAAACCTCCATCTAAAGAGCTTCAGACACCCGTGATCTGCCTGTGCGATCCTCCCCTCGGCTCTCCCCACGCCTGCTCAGGAAGGTTGCCAGTGGCTGGCAAAGGTTGCATCTGGCAGGGAGCAGTGCTGCTCCCGTGGGAATCTTTATCAGGTCTGCTTTTGTCTTGTCGACAAAGCTGAGCTCGCGGGTGAGCCGCTGTGAAAGCCTGGCCCAGCCGTGCCGCCGGCGTGCGCAGCTGCTGCCCAGCACCCTTCCTCGGGCACCAACAGCCGTGCCGGGCAGGGCTCGGCCCCCGATGCCGTGCATAACGGGCGGGTTGGCCCCGATGTGCACGAGCCACTGGCCAAGGACCAGGGCACTTTGTGAAGCCACCGGGTGACTGATGCTGGGGCGTACCCTCCACGGAGAGGTCCCCGCCAGGGTTTCAAGCTCCTCAGGGAGCTCTAGCCCCAGGACACATTGTCTGCGGTCCCTACATGGGGTGTGGTCTCAGAAAGCTGTTCTGCTCTTGGAGAAACTGTCCTGGCTTGGTTCTCTGGGCCTCAGTTTCCCCATCCGCTTCCCAAGTCTGGGTGACACACCGTGTCTGGGTGACACACCATGGGCAACGTGCAGCTCAGTAGCATCTTGAGTAACAGAATGTTGGCATTATTTTCCTGATTCACCTGGAAGGAAAACAGAGATAAAAGTCCCTGGATTTCCCTGTTTCCGGTGTTTGTTGGACGTGTCAGAGCATCTTCCCTTCTCCTTGGGAAAAACGTCACATCCAGAAGCTCTGTTCCATCTCCAAAAGCTTAAATACCTGCTGCTGAGTCACACAGGGAGGAGTGAGGTGGTCGTAAACACCAGGCTTTTTTTTTCATGTGGGTTTTTCTTTTGTTTGGCTGGCTTTTTTGCCCATTTGCCTCCAGGTTTAGATCCTGCAATATTATTCTTTGGCTTTTCTCTCAGAGATCATCATGTTCTTTTGGTGGGAGGATACAGTGTGATGCACATGGCTGAGCCTCCCTCCGTGCTGGGGGCAAGGGAGCCTGCTCCAGGCTGTGTGGCCCCATCAGTGTACCCAACACCTGTTTTTGTATTATCTGGCTGATTTTGGGGCCAAACCAGGAGTTTTTCTTTACACTATTGTTCTTGGAAGAGCTCAGGCTGGGGCAGTGGGTAAAGGGGGTTTGGGAATGATGGAGCTGAGGTAGGATTAGCACCAAAGAAGGTCTCTGCTTGGTCACCGTGATAATGTAGAGCTTTTAGAGACAGGTGTCACTGGGGAGATGTCGCAGTGGCAATGGGGACATACGGCATCGCCACTGGTACCCAGGGGTGGCAATGTCACATGTCCCCTCTGTGGCCTAAGGATGGGAAGATGACAGGGCAGGATCCAGCCCCGGCATGAGCTCGGTGTGTCCGGCTCCCTCCAGTGCTGCTCACCACTGGCACGGATGGGAACCATTTTCCCGCTGCAAAACCATTTTCGGGGGATTTTCTCTCGCTATTGTTCGGCTCAGGAAACAGCAATCGACGTCGGGGTGAGCTGGACCATATAGGGCTTGGAGGGGAAATACCAGCTCCCCCACCCACATCCCCACAGGGACTTCTGGTCCCGGTTGAGTAACGGCTGAAAGGGGCTGATCCTGCCCTCCAACCACCTCAATAAAATCCCAGTGGAGCCAGAGCACTGGGATGGGCTGAAGCTTTGTTGGAATTCAGCATTCCCTATCCAGAAGGGATGCTCTATGGGCACACCAACTCTGTGCTATCATGCCATCGTTGCCATTTGTGTAGCACTGTGTTGCTTTTAAGCACTCCAAGTGTTTCCTGTTGCCACCAGCATTCTGCCACTCCAGATCTGTGCTTTGTGGATATGCCTGTGTGATTCTCAGGTGTGCAGCAATGCACCAGGATGCCAGCTCGGTCCACATCCAGCTACGGCTGCCCAGTCATGCCTGTGCCATGGCCTCCCAGTCCACACTGGGACACTTTGTTAGCACCACACTCATTATACCCATGGCAGCAGGTTAATTAACAACCTGAAGCCCACATCTTCAAGTGATAAACTGTTGCAAGAAGCAGACGAGGAGGGACAATGAGTGAGCTGTGCCCACAGTGCTGCACCAACACAGATGTGCCCTGGATCCATGCTGGCTGGAGAAATCTCTGGAAGAAATCCATGCTGGCGGGAGAAACCTGCTAACAGGGACCTTGAGTTTTCAAGCAAGTGATTTTTAGCCCAGCCTTCCCAGTTGCTGACCCTTGGGTGCTTGGGAGAGCTCATGAGCCCTTGAAGGTGATAAGGTGGCAGCAAAAAAACCAGGGTTCAGCCTCTCAATGGGTTGTGAGAAGGATGTTTTGCAAGTGGCACAGAAGCGGGATGCAGTGGTGGCAAATTGGGTGCTGGCTTGGCTTTGGGCATTGACAAGTGTTTGGCTCTGCTGGCTGGTCCAGCAACTCCCACCAATGCTGTCCTGCCCTGGGGGGCTCCCACTGGTTGCTGGACCTTGGCAGGATGAGTCTCACCAGCCTCCGCCCATCGCTGGGGTGAGAGCAGGGTGAGGAGGTGGTGAAGTTCAGTGCATCGCAGCGGTGCTGCAGATGCAGTTTGTGGTGGGGGGAAGGTGGAAAACATGATTGGGAGGGCTCGGGGTGCAAAGGCTGCGGCTGGGTGGGGTGCACGGGTGGAGGTCACACGAGCCCTAGATGCATATAAATATATACATGTCTATATAAAGTCATTAAATGGCCTCAAACTGCACCAGGGGAGGTTTAGACTGGACATTAGGAATAACTTTTTCACTGAAAAGGTTGTCAGGCACTGGAACAGGCTGCCCAGGGAGGTGGTGGAGTCACCATCCCTGGATGTGTTTAAAAACCGTGTAGATGTGGTGCTTGGGGATATGACTTAGAGGTGCACTTGGTAGAGTTAATGGTTGGACTCGAAGATCTTAAAGGTCTTTTCCAACCAAAGTGATTCTATGATTCTGTGATAAAGACAAAGAAAAGGGTGATGGAGCAGAGTGGGAAGGGGAAAGGGGGTGTGAAGGATATTGCCCAGCTGGTTGCAAGGGGCAGAAGGGGTTTGGCCGCCGTGGTTACTGCATTGGCATCACTGGGGTGAGCTCGAGAGAGCCTACTTCTGCCAGGCTGACATGGCAGCAGTTTGCAACATGCTCAGCTCCTCAGCTAATCTACAGAGTCTAAAATCAACCAAGAAAATAATTTTAGGGCTGGTGAATTAGGAAGCCACCATTTCCTTCTGTTCCTGTTGCTCATGATAAAAAGCTAATTCCTGAACCGAGATGCGAAGCAGGGAGCGGAAGAGGGGACCCCTCCGGGGCTGAACCGTTGGTGGTTGTGTGCAAGGGTGGTGGGGCATGCTCTCCATGTCAAGAGCCCGGGGACCCAGCTTTGGGGTGCTCCTCCAACCTTCCAGCCCCGCAGCTGGGCAGGGTGCCCAGTGCTCGTGGCTCCTCCTGGTGGCAGAGGCACCGGGACCTGACTGTGACCACCAGCTGGTGTCACTCTGGCACAGCCTTTGCCCTCCATCCCCTGACCCCTGTGGTTACAGGTGATACCCAAATACTCACGTGGTCCCTTTCCTTTGTACCCTTCCAGGCCCCACCTTCTCCTCGGAGGCCAAGCCAAAGTGGAGAGCCACCCAGGATGAAGGTCCTCCTTCTGATCCTTCTCTCTCCCCTCCAAGGTAGCCTGCCCCAACTATGTCCTGTCACGGGACAGCCAGACAGGTTTGGGCTGCTGGAAGTAATTGGCAGCCCCAAAAAATTGGTTGGCGGGCACAGAGGGGCATTTGCAGCCATGGGTTCCACAGAACTGAAAAGCCTCATGGGCTGACATGCCTCTGGTGGAGTCTCTGGGGCAGGATGGGTCCTTTCCAGGAAAAGGGGATGGACTCTATCCACCCCTTCTGGGGATGGAGAGGTCTTCTGTCAGTCTCTGCTGACGTGGGTGGTGGCACCTGGGAGAGGGTGGCCTTGAGAGACGGGAGGTCCTGCTGCCCCACGAGCCTTGGCGAATCCTCCTACTGTGGCCACAGGGACATCAGGGAGGTGGCCGGTGTCTCGCAGCCCGTCCAGGACAGGGTTGGGATGACTGAGACAGAGAGCCGGTCTCGCCACGTGTGATGGCTTTGTGGGTGTGTGGTGTTTGCTGGGGATAGCCGCCCCTCCGGGTGAACCAGCATCTCCACGTGCTTGTGCAACGCAGGGGTGGGAGCCAGCGGCCACCAGGAAGAGGACTTCCGCTTCTGCGGCGACCGAAACCAAACCCAGAACAGCTCCATCATCTACGAGCACGGCCCCGCCACCATCTCCATTGAGAACACGGCCCAGGCGCTGATAATAAAAAGGCCTTTTGCACCAAACAGGAGAAACTCCTATTACAAGTACAGCTTGCCCCCAGCTTTGGGCAGGTACCGCTTCTGCATCTACTGGTTCAAGGCCAACAGGACCCTGAGGCTGGCGTACGGGAAGCATAGCTTCCTCCTGGGTGGGGATCTGGCCAGCAGCATCACTCAAGAGAAGGCGAGTCAGAAGACCCAAAGAACCAACACCTCCATCTTCAGTGTGTCCTACATCTTCAAGGGTGGGAAAAACACCTCCATGGACAGTACATCTGAATACTTCTTCCCTGGTAAAGGCAACTCAATGTTATTTTAATGCCGTGAAGGGTTCCTTTGATCCCCAGCCCATTCTCTAGCCACCAACAGAGCTTCGCTGATGGCTCAGTGTGTGCTACAGCATGAAGGGTGACGGAAGGAAACATAGTTTTGTTTGAAGGAGCCCAGAGGCAGCCCCTGGTACCCAGGTTCCCTAGAGATGAAGGTGGAGATTTTCAAAAGTTCTTTTCCCTGCTAAAATCTTGGGAAATCTTGTGCTTTGCAGAGGTCTAGCCTCAGCCAGCCTGGTCCTGATGGCCTTGGGGCGAGCTGAGCTCTGGGCAGCAGAAGAAGCCTGCTGGGTTTGGGTCTCCATCAGCTCCCCAGGCTTGGGGTCACCTTGAAGCCTTCTGGCTGTGGGCTGTGCCAGGTTGGTTCAGGGCACAGGGAAGCCGTCTCTGCCCATGTGTCTCATGGCATTTCCTTTCATGTGCCTGTCAGCATCTCCAGAGAGTGTGCCCGTCTGGGAGCAAGACGTGGAAGAGCAGCTCGTTGCCTTGGACAGCCTCATCACCCAGCCCCCTGCCCTGGCCAACAGAGCCGTGGAGCAGCAGGTGCTTCGGCGGTGAGTTCCCGGCTCACGCGGGTCCTGCTGCTGACCTGGTGCCTACTGTGTCCTGCTCACTGCACCCCTTCCCTGACAGCAAACTTGGGGAGCTGGAGAAGACACTGGCCAAGGTGGAGCTCGAAGGGCAGAACCAGACCTTTGGCAAAGCCACTGTACATGCGACTGTCCTGAGGGTCCAGCCCACTCCGGCTCCTCGGCACCTGGCCTTCGCTTCCCAAAGAGAGGTGGGTCCTGGGCAGCCTGCCCTGTTGGGTTTCGCCCACTGGCATCCTCTCCCAACCACTCTCCTGATGAGTCTCTCTTTGCAGGAGGGCAGAGAGGTCCGTGGATTTGCCGTGGACCTGCCAAGCAGCCTGTTCATGATGGCGAAGGAGAGGGAGGAGGTTGTGGAGCACAGGGTGCTCCTCATGGATATCAACAGCCAGACCATGTTCCAGGTAACGCCTGGGTGTCTGTCATGGTGGGGTGTCCAATGGGGGTGCCACCCTGGCCAGGGTTCTGGTGATCACTCAGAGAAGATGATTCAAAGATGAGCTAGAAGCTTACTGGGGAAAGAGGCATGGGACCTCCTTCTTGGTGACTCTCACCTGCTTCATGCCCAGCAGCTCTCCCTTTCCATGCTGCCACTGCCTTCTCTTCTCCAACAGGATGAAAACAACAGCCACATCCTAGGTGACAAAGTGGTTGGCATCTCCCTGGTGGATACAGTGGTGGCCAACCTCTCCGAGCCAGTGGTCCTCACTTTCTTCCACAGCCAGCTGCCGGTAGGTGGGGAAACAGTCTCATCAAACCTGATCCTACCAGGAATGGAGGGGCAAGGAGGGCTTATGCCCTGCCAGCTTAGAGAGTGGTCACAATCAAGCAGGTCCATGCCCTTGGCCTGCCTGTAGAGTATCTGCTGTGCCTTCTGGGGCTGTACCATGACCATGGCTTTACTGTGTGCACTGGTGGTGGCACTGCCTGTGTCTGCCCAGGAGATGCTGCTTTGCAGATGTGTTGCCTCCAGCACAATCTCCAGGGCTGAGGGGCACTTCGAGCTACCACTCCCTTGGTTCATTCTTGGTTCCTGTCAGGCGCCTGCTCAAAGATGAACTCCTTGTTTGAAAAGGGGGACCTGGGAGGAGGTGTCTGCCCTGTGAGCTGCCAAGAGAACGGTCTGCCTGGAGCCTGCTCCCGTGTTACGGGACAGTTTGTCTCCCGAGACCACATCCTCCCCCATCAAATGCGCTGGCTGGGCAACAGACCCAGAGCTGCATCTGATCAGGGGCTGTGGTTTTGTCATTGCAGAAGAACGTGACCCCGCTGTGTGTCTTCTGGAAGGAGGACACTACTGGTGAGTGTTCCTGCCCTTAGGTGTGAAGCTAGGTGCTACTTTGCTCCTATTGCAGGGTACCACAGACCCGTTGGTCCAGGTAAAAGTCGCTCTGCACCTCCCTTCCTTGCTCCACCTCAATAAAACTTTCCCATGGGGTTCCTTTCAGGGTTTTTCCTCCACAGCTAACCTTAGAGCTTTCTCCCTCCCTAGGGATGGGTCCTGATGCTATGGGTGCTATCTGAGTATATTTGCTTCGCATGGGGCAAGCTGGGACCCCCACCTCACTTTTTTCCTCCCCCCTGCCACGGACATCTTGCTCTGAAGACCCACAAGCCAGAAGCAGATGTTCCTGCTGCTCACCAGATGCTCTCCCTTTTTCTTGTGCAGCCAGCTCTGGGAGCTGGGACAGCTATGGTTGTGCCACAGCAACAGAGGATGGCCGGACAGACTGCAGATGCAACCACCTCACTTACTTTGCCGTGCTGATGGTGGGTAACACCTTCCCACAACTCTCTACATCATTCCCACCCGCTGTTGTTCCTCACCATCTCTTGCTTGTCCTTCTCCTCAGGTGTCCTCCCCGGAGATCACCTACATACACAGGGATTACCTGAGTATCATAACCTACATCGGCTGCCTGATCTCGGCTTTGGCATCCATTTGCACCATCTTCTTCCTCTACTTCAGGTACAGTCTGACAGTTCACCTGATGCTCTCCTTCTGTGTCCTGTTCATTGCCACTACACCTGGGTGGGTGTGAGATCTCCAAATACAGTTGGTGGCCTGTTTACAAGCATGATGAAGGGGCCATGCTTGAAGAAAGCAGAGTTCTCTTCTCCAGAAACAACTCCCTTGGTCAGGTCTTCTGCAGGGTGCTCAAAAACACCATCTGTTTTCCATGATTTTGGAAAATCAGCTTTGCTGTTGTTATGGACCCAACAAGCAGAAGCCTGCCAAGATCTTTCCAAGGGTCCAGTGGAGAACATAATTGTCTTCTTCTGAGTTATGTCACTGATTCTATGTGGATGATTCAGGGATGAAGTTACATCATTTCCTCCAGGACCTGAAATGCAGAGTCAGCTGCAAGACCTGAATTTGCACCTGTAATGGGTGGTCCCACCCATGGGGTTATGCTCTCAGCCCCTGACACCACCAGAGGGTCTCCTGGCTCTTCTGGCTGGGGCAAGCTGCCCCATGCAGAGCTGCGGGGTATTGTGGGGCAGGCACCAAGGAGGCTGGCCAGGCATGGTGGTGAGGTCTCCCTTCCTCCGTTCTCCAGGAGCAAGCAGCGAGACCAGATCACGAGCATGCACATCCACATGAACCTGCTGGGTGCCATCTTCCTCCTGGACGTCACCTTCCTCATCTCCGAGCACTTGGCCTCCAGCAGCAGTGAGGCAGTCTGCAGAGCTGGGGGGCTGTTCCTGCACTTCTCCCTTCTGAGCTGTCTCACCTGGATGGGCATTGAGGGCTACAATCTCTACCGGCTTGTGATTGAAGTCTTCAATGCCTACCATGACCACTTCCTCCTCAAGCTCTGCTTGGTGGGATGGGGTAAGTATAGGGGAGGCAGACATGCCCTGAGGGCAGTGGCCACAGAGTGGAGGGCCCACTGGGTAGGTCTTTCCCACCATATATGGTGCCTGGATGGGGATGGCAACATAGCAGTGGGGAACAGATATCTGAAAGCAGAGGGGTTGCTTTGCTGGGAGACTCAGTGGAGGAGGAGACTTGGAGGTTGAGAGCAGGAGCTGGTGCTAGAGCAAGGGTGGGTCACCTTAGGGGGGTCACCCAGCACGTAAGAGCTACTGCTTGGGGTCTTTAAATAGTAACGGGTCCCTCTCTTTCTGAAAGAAACATCCAGGACAGCCCAGAGAGATGGGCTTGATGCAGGAAGCACCCACACATCTCTGCTGGGCTTTGGTACAAAGGTCTTGTGACCTTTTGTGGTCTAAAATTCCATGGCCCTGGGACACCCCTGGGGTGGGTCGGTACAGTGGGTCAGGCTGGGGCTTGTGCCAGGTGTCCTGATTGCATGCTCCATCCTCAGTTCCCCCTTGGGAGGGAGAACATTGGTGTGTACTCTATACTGAGAAAAGGGGCAACAAGTCCTTCCAGAATGTTCTAGAGCCAGGGTCTCGAGTGGACGCTCCCTCTGTTCTTGCCACCCAGGTGTCCCCTTCTTCTGCGTGACACTGATCTTCCTGGCTAGCTGGACGAACTATGGCCCCTTCTCCATTCCTATCTATGAATCCGTTGGTGGCAAAGCCACCAATGCAACCATGTAAGTTAGGGGAAATGGGTTGCCTGGTCCCTGGTCTTAGATGAAGTCAAGTGGCTAAACCTTCACTATAGGTTTTCCTCAAGCCACCTGTGGCTTTTCTGGGGCTCTGTGCAGGATGGTGAGGGGAGATCCCCCCCATCCTGGTTAATTAAGCTGGGTGCTGGGTTTTCACCACACCTTCGTGCTTCTCCAAACCCCTCCAACCCATGTTCCCGTGGGATGACCAAGCATGACCCTCTGTGCTTTTTCCTCCCTCCAGATGCTGGATCACAAGTCCCCTGATCCATAACATTGTGAACCTGGGCTTCTTCAGCCTGGTGTTCCTCTTTAACTCAGTCATGTTGGGGGCCATGATCCGGGAGATCCTCCGGCAGAACAAAAAAGGCCACAAGCTTAGGCATGTCCTAGCCCTCTTTGGTCTGAGCATCCTGCTGGGCATTCCCTGGGCACTGGTCTTCTTCTCCTTCACCTCCGGTGTCTTCCGCCTCATCTCCCTCTACATCTTCACCATCATCAACTCCCTCCAAGGTGAGCCTGGGATGCCGGGCTCCTCCAAAGGGCACTGGGGTTTTTGTGGGGTGTTGGTAGGGTGGTGATGAGAGGAGCCGTCCCTGGCAGGCTGCCTGGCTCACTCTCATCTGCTGCTGGTCACTCAAAGGGGTTCTCCCATCCTTCCTTCTTCCTCTCCCAGGTTTCCTCATCTTCCTCTGGTACTGGACCATGGTGCTGCAGGCGAGAAAGTCCCCTGACTTGCAGAGCAGCTCTGACAGCGTCAAACTGCAGCCCAACAGCAGCCAGAGCCACCTTGGCTGAGCCCCGGGACGGCTGCTCATCCTCTCCCAGGGGCTCCCCGAGGGGAGGACAGCCGTGGGAAGGACCGACCCCATCTGCTTTGCTGCCGCACCCAACTCATAGGGCTGCTAGGAGCACAGGGACCTGTCGCAGGGCCAGCTGCCCCAGGGCCCTCACCTCTGCTGACCCCCTTTCCAGTTTTCCCACCCACCACATCCCTCCAGGAAGCAGTGCATTCCTTGGCTTGGTATCCCTGGGGAAAGAGGGAGGGAGGCTCACCTAGGCAGTGGGGGCTGCAGAAAGTGGAAGGGGCAGGGACAGGTTCCCCGGTGCCTCTGTATGTCCCCTCCCATGCTCCAGGGCCAGGGATGATGGGTAGAAAGACCCCATCTTCAGCCCTTGCTGGTGGTCACGAGAGGGTCCTTCCCCAGTGAAGACAGAATAGCTTTCCTCCCGCAACACTCTCTAGCAGCTGAAATAATCTATTTTTGTTATTTTGTTGAATGTACATTTTTGGGTGGTGTAGAAGTCTCATGAGTGCACCCGCCACCAGACTTCTGCCCATTAAAATGGTTCCTGCTCAGTGTGGCTGACCGGGGTCTCTCTGCTGGGTGTGTTGGTGGGCTCTCCAGTGGGATCCATCCCTAGGCCGGGGTTGTCCCATCCCAGGGGCAGCACGTGGTGTTTCACCCCATGGGATCTGCTGAGCACCTGTGGTGGTGCTCCTGGCAGAGCACGGCAGCCCATTGCTGGAGGGGCGGGGGTGATGGAGGAGGATGCTGCAGCCGTTTCCAGGGACTGTCACTTCCCAGCAAAGATGAGACCAGTGGAGGATGGGAATATGAAGACAGAGGCTTTGCAGGACGGGAATCGCCTCTCTTGGTGGCTGCGGGACCAGGCAGAGCGTGCCTCTCCTGGCTGTGCTGCTTGCATGGGCAGCACTGTGTCTTTCACGCCACCAGTTCCCCTTCCAGATGATGCTCTGCTTGTGGCTCATCCCCTTCCAGGGGCTCCAGCTCCTGACCAGGCCTAAGGGACCTTCCCAGGAAGGGGATGTTTTGTTCCCGGCGGCTGGTGACGATCCCTGGTGACATGCTCAGTGTGGGAAAGGGATGTGCCCATCTGTTGCTCCGCTGCTGGGGGACATTGGCCAAGGATTTGGCAGGACAGGGGGGAAAAGGGGGAAGAAAAACGTCCTGAGTCAGCTGAGGGAAGCAGCCAAGGGGGAAACGACACGGCTCTGACAGTTATCACCGTTGCTGTGAGCTGGGGTAGGAGGTCACTTGCCAACCCACAGGAAGGCACGAGGGGTTCGCAGAAGGGAAATGAGGACGTGACCATTGCCTCAGAAGCAGCCGCAAGCTCCAGGAGAGCTCAGGGAGGAGCAGAGCTGCCAGGACAAGGGAGCTGAGCATCGTGGGATGGCCAGGGGTGGCCAGCAGATCCCACAGAGCAGCATGAACCTGCTTCTGGGCACCATCCTGCTGTTCCTGGTGCTGCCTGGTGAGTGGTGGGTGAGGGGCACACTGGAATCCCCAGCCTGGGGTGTGCATGAGCTTGGGGGTACATTTTTCCTGTGGGAAAGCATTGACCCAAAGCCTGTGGTAGAGTTTCACCCCAAAATGCGGCCAGGCCAGAAGAGAGTGTCCCCCCTGGGGGTGCAGAGAGCTGGGAGAGGTGAGCAGAGTGAGGGGGTTGCTGCTGGGGACTACGCTGAAACCTGTGACCAGGAGCCCAGGATCTCTTCTGTGAGCCACCCGGGGGGCTGGATGCGGTGGGGTGTCAGCAGAGGCGTGGTGGCTTTGCCCTCACCAGCCCCGATAGCTGTCCAGTTGCTTTATGATGCCCGTATAACTGTGGGGCTGCTACTTTTGAACCTGGAAGCAGGCAGATAATTCTGCCTCCCCCTATCCCTGCGGGCAGGGAGGACTGACCCTACATTTGGGGGTTTCCCCCCACTTCTCCATGCACCCCCTTTCCAGATGCTCATGGAGGACAGGAAAGCTGTGCCGGTGAGTGGTTTCCCCCCATCCCCGCTCTCACCCTGGGGCCCACGCCGTGTTCCAGGGCCCAGCAGTCACCCCGCTGCCCTCCCCAGCCCTGGGACGGGGTGACGGGCATCACCAGTGCTGCAACACGATGGTGGAGCTAGAGGAGCGAGGCAAC